CCGGGGACATACTTGATACCGTGTTAGGATTAGGTGTCATACGATATATTGATATCGTATTAGGCGTCATACTATGTACACATAAAACCTACTAAAGAAATATCTCTAGTTCCACTTCCATTAGATTTTTTTTTAATGAATTTTAATTTGAATTTATCGACGAAGCGTTCTGCTTGACCATACGGTCTTGGATGGTAGGGGCTGGGTTTTGATATGTTTATCGCAAATGTTCTATAAAAACTTTCAAACTGCTTAGCAGTGAATTGCGTGACATTGTCCAAAACAATGGTATACCGGATGTTGTATTTAGAAAATAATTCAAGCAAGAAGTTTATTGCAATTGTAGAAGTTGGATTCTTACATTTTAAAATTTCTGGCCATTTGGAAAAATTGTCGAAGGCTATTAAGTGTAGACACCATTTATCGGTCCCGCGAAATCGATATGTAATCTCGAACACGGTGTGTCTGTCTTTGGCCAAGGATTGAAATAAACTGGTGATGATTTTGTTGCCATGTTACAAATTCTGCATGCTTTTACCAATCACTTTATGTATTTGTCCATATTGGGCCAGTAGACATAGCTGCACATGAGGGATTTCATTCTAGAGATATCTGGATGACCTGGATGAAATTCTTTGAACATCCTTTTCTGAAGAGATGTAGGCATTACCACTATTTCACCAGACATTAAGACCACAGATTGAGAAAATATTGTAACCCCAGTTTTCGATTGTATTTTATTTTTCTCCTTCAATTTCCAGCTTACTTGCTTCTTTATTTTCTCTCTAATAAAAGTATCCACCTAAGCTTTTAATTTAATTTCATCCATCGTCGTACGGTATTGCAATTACCGTTTCTTCTAAAGGTTCATATAATTTAAGTATGAGTCTTGACAAACCATCTGCGTAACTTAGCTTTTTTGATGGCAAGAAATTCCTTTTTAAAATTTTAATTAAACAGAATTGTCCCATCGCTGTATGTGTCGGAATAAACTTTTCCCACCCGAAAATGGCTAACAATGGCCGGTCGTATATGAATTTGTGAAATCTTTCACAACAAAAATTATTCCCAAAGCTTCTTTCTCTATCTTCCTATGATTGTACTGATATTTATTGTATATGAAAATACCTAAATGGGGCGATTAGGGTTGACGCTGGTCTTCTATCTTATACCTAGCAAATCAGATTCCCGACCCAGTCACTCGTTACAATCTGCACATTCACCAATCAACCCTCCATATACGATAATACATCATGCTCTCAGGGAACCTAAACAACGCACACCGTGACATAAAAATTTGATGATTATAAAAATTTATACATAAAAATCTGATGATTTACAATGTGATGGGAGAGATGAACTCAAACTAAAATATCAAAACAAACAAAATAAAGATAACTGATGTTAGTTGGACCCGTCAGAAATAGCATACGTTTCACCCCAGAACAGGGGGCAACACATTGTCACACGCGTATGCGCGATCAATGAGTACGAGCTTTTCGGGAGCGATACGAGCCGTCAACTCGCCGACATGATCCCACAGAGGGCTGACCAGTGGGCAATGCCACATCGTTCATAGTCTGGCAAATCCGCCATACCCCATATGAAGTCCTTATCATTGATAGATAGCCAATCCCCAGGTAAGCGAAAACTTAGGATTGCTGAGGTACGCCGCCGCTGGCGCTCAAGATATGTGGGAAGATAACGGTTAACCATAGACTTGAACAGACTGAGTTTGTAGTGATCGTGTAAGCATCCTTTTGGGTGTCGGTTCCACAAAGCAGGACTTCAAGAGGAAAAGGGGTTCAAGTGAAAGTTTACAAGTCACAAATGGAATCCAAAGGCAACGACGGTAGTTCTCTAGAATATACTTGACATGGCGGGTCTTATACGTGAAGGTTACAACTGGTGGAACTAAGGAATATATTCGCAAAGCCCAAATTTCTGAACATTCTCCATGGAAATAGCGATAGAGCAGCGAGAGGCTTGCTGGGTGCCCTATACTTTCGACTTTGTACCACATCTAAGCCGCCCCTCGAAAATCACTATAAAATACACATATTTGCAACAGTCCGTATATTTTTCTTTAAGATTTCTCGAATATTCTGGTCAATAGATGAAAATAAATAAATATAGTGTTTAATAAATAAACATAGCGTCTATTCAAATATGAGTATTGAATTGATATATATATATATATATATATATTGCTCGAAGCAGTCAGATGTTTAGCTATGATACAGATATACAGGCTTGTGTTTGGATGACATGCTCTCGTTCGTCGATTGAGCACTATGGGGAAATGGAAATTTTTAAAACAGTGGCTGCTCCTGCTTATAATATATTGCTCTTCAGTTATGAATTGAGCACTCTGGCTGCTTATTTGGCGTTTGTATACATCACGCATAGAATATATACATAAAGATTCTCTTTCTCTGCCGTATGCCGGTCGAGTTTCTATCCCGGCTTGGAGCACTCGGGTGTGTAGACACACTGATGAGCTGTGATACATCGAAACAGGCATGTATGAGTATATATATATATATATATATATATATATATATATATATATATATATTGAACTTGAACACACAGAAAAAGAAAACAGATTTAAATAAAGAAGACAACATTATACCTTGAAGGAAACCTTTTCTGCCAACACTTTATCAAAAGGTGGTCGCTGGCGAATAGAACAAAAGAATGTAAACACAGTTGTAGAAATAGCAAATGAAGATCCAGTAGACAGAGTCGTTTTTGGCCATTAGACAACATTCACTAGATAATCCGGACTGTACCGCCGAATATAATAACACATTTTTCTCTATTTTACATAGACTTCGCTTTGTCCACGACCCTAGAGTTCTCGAGTCTGTGTACATCAAAATTTATCATACTAGCCTATGTAAACAGAAAAGATCACTTCATTTCTTCCTTGTGTTTGTTGAGGGAAATATGAGTGAAAAAAATATATTTTATACACTTTTTGAAATTTTTTATTATTTGCTTTTAATCGTCAATTTATTTTCTATTAAAAACAATTTTAATCGTGTTTCAGTTTCCCCTCCTCATTATTTTTATTTCTGCAATTGTGTCTACGATTATTTTGTTCCATTCGTCAATGTCCACCTTTTGATAAAGCGTTGCCTTCAAGGGTTTCCTTCAAAGTATAATGACATATTCTTTATGTACAGACATACGATATCAGAGATAGTGCTATCTAAATATAAAAGTGGACTTGAAGTCAACACCCAGCGGCGACTGTCTGTTTTATGCGTATACACAACCCTCAGGCCATGATTTGGCGATTGCGTATAAACATGAAACAGAGTGTCGCCACTGGTTTTGACTTCAATGTCCACTTTTATAGTATATTACACACACACACACACACACACACACATATATATATATATATATATATATATATATATATATATATATATATATATATAGCAGGACAGACTGGGTTCTATAGCCTTGGATGGCAACTGGTCTAGGAGAAGGACAACTCTGAATTCAAAACCTGAGGGGGGTTGTTTGGGAACCTTTTGGCACGTAGTGCACCAGGTCTCTGTATTCGGTCCTTCAAAAAGTGTGGATGGTCCTGCACGAAAACCTTCACCAGTATAATCAAATCTCATGTGCCGGTAAAAGGCTGTCGGTTTCCTAGGAACTGATCTGCTTGACCCTCATACGTCGAACCCGACGGGGGAATCGATTATTTATATAATATATATATATATATATATATATATATATATATATATATATATATATATATATATATATATAAGAATAATTTATATACATATATATACTACTTCAAACGTCATTATAATGGATACTATGTTTGAAATAGACGCGGCATTTTTATTTTTATTTTTACTTTTAACCATGCGCACTACGTCTATCAGCATGTGTAGTCGAGAAATCAATAAAGAAAATGTGCTCTCCGGCAGGGATCGAAACTGAGAAGCCACCGTTTTATTCGGTGTGCTTTACCACTAGGATACAAAGTGGGGAAGCAGGTACAAGTAACACCTGTATTGATTCATGATCACTGGCAATAAGTTTAGACGATTTTAACTGCACGGTGATTTATCGAAGGTAAGTGGAAGAACTTTTCGAGAAAAATCCCTTGATTTAACAGATTTTCCCGACCATTAAGAAAATGCGTAGAATGTGACGTGAAAGAAAGAAAGAAAGAAAGAAAGAAAGAAAGAAAGAAAGAAAGAATGAGGTGTGAAAATAGAGAAAGAAAGACGATCCCAAACTGAGAAGAGAGAAAGACGTGTGCAAAGTTAAAAGAAAAAGGGGAAAACAGGACGATTGCAAAGAAAGAAAGAAAGAAAGAAAGAAAGAAAGAAAGAAAGAAAGAAAGAAAGAAGTAATATTTCTTTCCTCCTTCAATGTATGGATCTTGCAGATATTTTTTTTTTAAATTGACTTTAATTTCTTTGACAGGACAGTATGAGGAAACGTCCATCAAAGACACATTTCTTTCCCGCTGGCACGCATGGTATCATGGGATTGTTTCTCTGAATGTCCAGTCTGACTACATTTTGTGCTACGTCTCACAGAATGAAAAAAAAGAAAAGTTTAAACCTTTTCTTTTTTTAGAAGGAAATTCGATGAGGAATAATTTTAATGTTTGCATCCCAGCCTATCGATACTAAATCTAAGTATCATTTAGATTTCTAGCTAACTAGGGATTACCAGTCACGTCACGAGTCAGAAAACCATCCCTTTTCAAGTTGATTCTTTTTATTAATTAATTCAATTTCTATGTCTTATCAACCCTTTGCAAGTTATTTAAAGAATTCTTTGAGATAATAATTATTTAGTGATACCATCTTAGTTGGGGAGAGAAGAGGCAGATTCATACCTTTTCCAATGGGATTTGCACGTAAATTACTGTAACGAACCCAACTGGAATTGGGACTCAGTTCTCCAATTAACAATTCCGGGCCATTATCCATTGGACTAGACGCACATCTAAGCTTACAATAACTGGTATTTTCAAGCGGTCACCCATCTAGGTACTGGCCAGACACGACGTTGCGTAACTTCGGTGATCATACGGAAACCGGTGTTTCAACGTGATAATAGGGTGATAAGCTGTAAAAAATGGATCAATCCACTTACTATATAAACTCATCACAGTCGGGATCATAGAGTCATTGTAAATTCCACGATTCTTTCATTAGCTGGTTAGCTTTATATACAGTTTTCGAATTCAGAATTATCCTTCCCCTAGAAGGGCCGCCACCCAAGGCTATAGGACTCAGTCTGTCTTCCTATTTACCAATAGTTTTCCCAAAGGTATTTTCACGCACATGAATGTAGCGAATTCAACTGAAGTTCCAACTCTGCGCACTAATTCCTCAATCCAAGCCGCTATCCATTACTCGATCGTGCCTCCACCTATTCCTCCGTGTCCCCATCATACACATTTATAAATCTACGTTTCGTCCGTAAGCATGATGGTTAAAATAACTTTTTCCGTCAGAATTATATATATATATATATATATATATATATATATATATATATATGCAAATATATTGATAAAATAAGAAAGAACCGTTAGATTGATGATCCGAAGTTCTTTAGAATTTTTTAAACAGTGCTCGATAAACAAGTAGATAATAATTATTCTTTTAAAGATATGATTCGATCACTACACAAGAATTACCATGTTTCAAAAACAGAAGCTAAAAACTTCCAATTCAGTTATAGAAATTAAATTAAAGTACCTAGTTCTGTTTCATTTTCAAGCGAATTTTGGAATAACTTATTTTGAAATTTACGGAGCTTTATAAGCACATACATTCATAATATTAGTTTCTATGGATATGAGGAAAACTAATCATTTTAACAAGGGGTGGTACGGTATTCTTTTTCACTGACAACTATCGTATCAACATATGAGTTACTTTTGAAAAGAGGTTAAGTCAAGGTAGGGTAGGGGTGCCTTTTTCAAACGAATGATGACACCCGTTCAACGCATGTCCTCTGGTCTTTTTCAACGACAAAAAGTCTTTCGGTACTTTTGTTTTGCCGTTAGATTTGTACTTGTATATATACATACATACATACATACATACATACATACATACATTTACACATATATATATATATATATATATATATATATATATATATATATATTTGTGTGTGTGTGTGTGTGTGTGTGTGTGTGTGTAAACCTCATTCTCATATCCTCCCCGGACTCATTGTCAATACCACGATCATTTCATTAGCTGCATCGTATGTGCTTTGCCAGAGCCACATCTAGTTTTTTATTCATTTTTCCTTCTTCTAGACTGGTTGCCACTCAAGGCTGAAGAGCCCAATCTGCCCTACCATTCACATAATCTTCATTTAATACTTTATAGAATAGCCATTATTCACTTCTACATCAATCAACCTCTTCTTGTAGTTCTCAGTTAATTATTTGCAAATTTTAGTTGGTATTTTCTTCTCCACATAGGATCTTCAGATCCGAGATTTTTCTTCGGGCTCTTGATTGGTTTTGAATTTTCAAATAACGATTGGGTTTAAATCCGGGGACTGGCTTGGCCATTTCAGTATATTTATATTATTTTCAGCAAGTCATTTCTTCGTAGATTTTGCAGCATGTTTAAGATCATTATCTTGCTGGAAGATACAATGAGAAAGAAGTTCAAGATTTTCAACAGATATCATTAAATTTTCTTCCAAAATATTGATATGCTGCGTCATTCATTCTACTGTTATTAATACGTTGCCAGTGCCTTTTGCAGAAAAAAAATCTCCAAACTCTCGTGCTGCCAGCATCAAATTTCACTTTTGGAACTGTGTTCTTTTGTTTGAAGGTATCGCCATCTTTCCTCCATACATGATTTCTAGAATTACATCTAAACCTTTCCCAATACGATTTTTTTCCCAATTTCTAGAATTACATCTAATACTCTTTCCCAATACGATTTTTTCCTTGTCCTTATGTTCAAGAACGAATTTCAACCTGGCATTTCCGTGTTGTTTCAACAGCAGTGGAGATTTCCGACGAGAGTTTGACTTTAGATTATTCCTATGAATTTCATTGCTTATTTTCCGTTTAGTGACACAGGATCCAGATGAAAGTAGATCCTCCAGCAATTCTTACCAGTCACCATTGGATTTTGTTTAATTTAACGCATTAATTTCCTCGAAGATTTTGAAGAAATCTTCCGTAGAGCACCTGTCCTTCTTTGTTTTTTTCACTTGAATAATCTAGAGTATTAAAGCAATTTAAAATTTTTAAAATTTGAAATTTGCATTATATAAATACTTTTTTTCATCCATAAAATGGATAAATGGGGTTTATTTCTATTAAATCATTTTTTCTATTTTCTATGCATATTTATTTATTATGCATCTGTTCACAGTTAATTATATGAAAAGTATGTTTATTCTTTAGTTGAAAATACAATAAATTAAAAATGTGTACGAATATTTGTTTCCCCACTGTATATTGCGTTATATAAGCAAACTATACTACATTTCCTTGCGGGGGTTAGTTAACATAATTGCTGTTCTAGCAGTTTTGAATTACAAGACTATAATTCAAGAAGCAAGTCTACAAAGCGTTTTAGATCCATTTCTTTGGAAAGCATTGTTGCATTATCTTATGGTTGCACAATGTTTATATATGATATTTACTTAGATGACCTTAATACGAGCCAAAGCCGAAGGGCTGAAGTGAAATTAGATTATTGTAATATGTTAAATAACGTTGCTTGATTACAACCGGTGAGGACAATATATTCAAAGAACACGTCATTTTCTGACGTGATCAAATGAGAGCAAAGCATTTAAATGCCAGTGTACGGGGTCTGCCTGAAAAGTAACAGGACTGGTTCCACAAACAATTTATTTCAATTCCAAACAAGAGACTACATGATTTTCCGTTCAAAGTTATCCCTCTCAATTCTTAATCACTTTTCCGTCCTTCTCTGCCATACTTTTATACACTGCTTGAAGAATTCTCCTTGGATTCTCATCAGCTCCATCGTTACGGCCCTTTTGATGACCCCCTTCATTTTGGGGGGAAAAGTAAAAAGTCACACAGGACAAGATCAGGTGATTAGAGAGGTTGTTCCAGTACGGCGATGTTCTTCTTGGACATGAACCGTCGGATGCTCAGGACGATGTGAGGTGGTGCATTGTCGTGGTGAAGCAGTCACGATTTGTCCTACCACAAGTATCGCATGTGAAAAAAATGGAATGGCTGCAGAAAGCTAAGATTATTTATTTACTTCCAAGATTTTCTAGCAACTTCTCAAACATCCTTAGGAGAAAAATTGATTTTTTTTTCCTTTTAAATCAATTTAATGACCAGTGTTCTTAGAAATCTCGTTTCCAATCCATCTTTGAGTCAATTTAATGACCACGATATTCAGGAATCCTATCTCCAAGCAACCTTTGAATTGGCAAACATAACATTTTGTTAGTGATTTTAGATAATCATAAAAGTAGAGTCCTTGGAAAAACTGACCACTTAAAAGCTGAAAGGGTGATCTCTTTTTCAAGAAGTTGACAGTCAGTAAGTAAGTCAGCAGCCTCCGAGATCAGGCAGTGAATGTAAGGGTCTTTTTTCCATGGCCGTAAGTTTATAAGATAGCTGTTCACCTTCTCGGCGCCAAAAGAAGACATTGCCAATTAAGTGGTAAATCGTATTGTTTGCTATTTCCAGTGTCTTGAAAAGCATTTGTCGTTATTCTTTGTTGAATTCGATCACGGCCAGTGACATAAACCTGTGAACAATGTGAACCTGTTGTATATACGGATACAACCGACCTTGGATGTCATCACAGTTTGTACAGTGACGTGCGGGAAGGCATCGTCACATCCGCTTATCCCACTTCTGCCCTTAACCCACACTGTACACCTATTCAAGTTACTTTTCAGTCAGATCTCGTATATCAGGATTCTATGGTTTTACCTATAAAAATGTAGGAAGAGCGAAAAGCATTTTCTGACTGAAAATGGCCCATGAAAAAGCTTAATTGATTAATTTTAAAACAGAAAAATATCTCCAGTTATATTTAAATATTTTTTAACTGACTTTTACTTTGGTCAGAATACGAAATCAAGGAATTAAGTAAATAATTCCTGGCAATGGTTCAACCGAACTATATTCATAAACCTTAATATCACATATGTAGGAGTAAACTTAAATTTATCTGCGTAATCAACTTACTGACCACAGAGTTACAACATGTTTAAAATGAAGGTTTGTGATTCGCTCACGGTGGCGTCGATATTACACTGACTCCACTTCTATTAGAACCATAAGAAAAGTAGTGCCGCAGGGTTGGAATACCCGGAACCCGGTGTCTTTTCCCATCTCAAATGAGAAGAGAACAAATACTTCACTTTGATCCCCACCAGATATATTTAACCGGCCTCCCCACTACGACAATATATGACACAATGTTGTTGTTTATTTACGTGGGGAGCTCATACATATAAGTAGTATATGGAACAAGGAAAAAAAAAAGTTACCCAGTCGACGCAATTACACGGAACACATCTCTCTTACTATAATGAGGAAGATACTGCCGTAGGTTTGGAATCTCCGCAAGCGGGTGTCTTCTCCCATCTAAAATACTGAGTGGTCATCATATGCCACCTAAAATATTTGTAAGAATACGTAGTTATTTAACTTAGTACAAAGTCTTTTGTAAATCTCTTACGTTATCTGTTAACAGGCGTTAATAGTGTGAACCGAAAATCGAATGACAAAATATGTAGTCATGTGATTAAATTTCAACGTGGTTGGCATGGGATTCTCGTTGTCGAGTTTGGAATGCGCCGTGCATGTTAAACTTGTAACTTTTTAAGGAGTTCCAGTCTTATTGTAGGCTATGTTTTTTTTTTTTTTTTACAAACTTTATTAGAATTGAAGTTCTTCCCATTAAGATATATTTTAGGGGTCAAAATAAGTGGCAATACAAAGTTACAAGCTCAGGTGTTTATGGAGTGTGCAGAAAAAACGCCCTTGCCATAATATACCAATTACTGCCAGTTCCACAACGATACATGATCACTGGCGTTGTCCTAATGGAAAAATCACG